ACTTTTTCCACGATCGATTGTTGGCAATGAATATGTTATTATTGCTTTTAACTACTTAACTCATTGGGTGGAAGTTGGTGCTTTTGCAAGTGCCTTTGCAACTATTGTTGGATACTTCTTTCTCAATTGAGTGATGTTTCAACATTCTTGTCTGGAGCAAATTCTTTCAGATAATGGTTCTGCACTTATGGTTGAGGCATTTCATGTTTTGATGTCTCGGTTGGGGATACGCCACACTTTCACAAATGCTTATCATCCACAGTCAGATGGTTTGGTAGAACGGCTCATTTGGACATTCAAAAGAATGATCGCGAAGTATGTGAACTTAAAGCATTCGAATTGGGATGGATATTTCCCATCTCTTTGGTATGCATATATCACAGGGGTGCAGAGTTCTGTTGGTGCTTCACTATATAAACTTCTATATAGTCATGATCCAATATTACCAATGAAGCTGAGTTTACATTCCCGATTACCACATGCTACCGATGCTAGGTCGTGGGATCAGTATTTCATGAGCATTCTTCCATTTGTCCAAGCAAAGTCTGCCGAATACTTATGCCACATACAAATGGGACAATGACGGTGCTACAACTCCCATCATCGACCACATGCGGAGTATAAAATGGATGACTTAGTATTAATCCGTTTTCCCCATCTTACGGTACGTGGTTTATATAAGGGGCTCCTTGCTTAATTGAAAGGACTATATCGGGTGTTGCGGCAAGTTGATCACAAGTTTATAAGGTTCGGCATGACATCTAGCAGGTCGATCCTCTAGAAATTGTGCATATGCAACAGTTGAAATGCTTCATACAAAAAGATTAGGAACAATTAATACCACTTACAGATCCACTGATGCCTCCTCTTGACGTTCCTCTAGATCCTGGCCCATTTACACGAGAACCCGGATGGTCTTCCATCATTCCAAGAGGAGGGGATGATGTGAGGTCCAAGTGTATGGTTATAATGCCATATATTAATATTAGTGTAGTGGGATTTTGGTAGTTATTGAATTGGTTTCAATTTGGACCACTCACTCCTATATATAAGCTAATTGAGATGCACATTTTCTGTATTTCCTTTCCATATTCCAAACACTTACAATTTTAAGTTGTTAAAATAATAATAATTTAAATATAATAATTTATATTAATAATTATTCTTTCTATTTTAATATAATATATTTAATTAATTTTAAAATTACATTAATCTTATTATTTATATACTTCTAAACATATCTCAATTTTGATGTTTCATACCATTTAAAAAGTGTTTTGCCATTCATAGAATGGTGATTTGTTATTGGATATTTTGAAAGAAAATTTAAATGAAAAATAAAGTTTCGTATTGAAATATAGTGTTATTATAAAACCATAAATTTCTTATAAGTTTTACCTATAATCTTGTAGTGATAAATACTGTTAATGAAGAGTTAAAAATAATGTATTACATCAAGCAATCAATTCATATAGTATTATTGTATTAAAGTTTTTGTAATAATATTAAGTATATCTATTATACATATTATATATATGTATAATAAGTATATTTATAAAAAATCATTAAAATTGAATGTATATTACACTTTAAAGTCTATATGTTTTAGTAGAGTCTCAAAGTGAAAAGTAAATCTGAAACAAATATTTGAAAATAGAAAAATATGACCATTATTCAAAGTTAAGATATACTTCTAAGTGCTTGAACTTTCTATCCATATTAATCACTGTTATTTAACATTAGCTTTTAAATGTTACATTAATGTGATATAATGTAAAAATTAGTTTCTTTTTTTATGAATGCCATAAAATTACAATTATATTTATTATATATTTCAACTTAAAACACCAATTAAGTACCTAATTATAATTATATATAAGTTTTATATATATATATATATATATATATATATATATATATATATATATATATATATATATATATATATAGATAAAGTTGCAGTTTGTTTTAGGTTTTTTAAATATAAGAATTTACACTCTTTAAATTTTACACTTTAAAGTATAATTTGCTACAAAATATACACATTTAAAAGTTGATCAATATGATAAGTAATAGTGTACATTTATAAGTAGATATGATTGAGTCTACTAGAATAATTAAACTATTCAATTTTTATATATACATATCCTATATCTTCTAATTGTTTAATAGATAAAATAAAATCATTTGTTTTTTCTGCAATATTCAGATGTTTCACCTCTATAATGGTGTTGGTGTCATGTTTATACAGGTAATTTAAAGTTGAGTGAAAATGCTAAAAGGCCTTTTTCATTTATATTTTTCATGTTGAACTTAAATGGGATGTATATGAATGTAAAATTTCAGTTTATTCATCATCAATCATCAATTTAGAGTAGAATAAAATTTATTGTAGTTGCTCACTCTTTTAGAGTAATTATGGTTCTTTTTTCATCTTTAATGGTTTTTTTCAAGTTGTAAGGTATATTTAAGTTTTATTTCATTCTCTATACTTGTTAAAGGACTTTCTCTATTTGGCTACATTTTTGTACATGCTAAATTTTATGGATTGTGGATTGAATTGAATCAGCTAAAAGAGAGTAAATAATATTTGGCATGTTCTATCCAAATATTATAATGCATACAATCTTTTATTATAGCAATCAAAATGTGATTACTTACATAATACTTTTATGTTAATAATAAATATAGATGTGTAAAAAAAAGATGCATCTATATGCAATCACATATTCATTGCCATAAATTAGTGGAAATAAAAATAAAAAGTAAATATGAATTCAATTAATGTATGTATTTGCAAAAATAAAAGTAAATTGAACTTTTTCCATTTTCCAAGGATTCACCTCTATTTTAGAAAAACTTAAATTCTAACTTTTTAATATAGTTGTGAAACATATGAATAGTCATAAGAATATGCAGTACTCATGAAATTGGTAGTAGTTAAGGTAAAGGACATATACTATCAAATAAGGATAAGAAATACTAGTAAAGCTATAAGTTAATTTTTCTAAATAAATAGTTAAGATAAACTTCTCTCTAAATAACTTAGTAAGAATAAGTAAAGTCAACTGAAGCAAATCAAAAACAACCAAATACAATTGAAGACAAATTAGTTTAATGGTGGTCTTGAATTGGCCAGAAAAAAATTGATCCAACTTTCTTAGTTATAGAAGATTCATTAAAACCTTTTTGTTTATAGAATGACTGCAAATGGGCCATCTATGAGGCATTATAGCCCATTAAGGCTGAAATCTTATTTGCTATGGAATGGATGCAAATGGGCTATGGATGGGGCATCAGGGCATGACTTTTCTTGTCTACTCACATGCAATAATTTCACTCTATTTTTTTTTAAGTCACATCACATGTTTAACATCATTTTTAAAACAATGCCACCTATGCAAAATAAGAAGTGAGATCATAACTAATTAGGGAATAAGCCCTAAAAAGATAACAAAGCCACCAAGTAGTGCAATGGCAAGTATTGGCAAAAGAAAGTTCCTTATGGTTAGATTGTAAATTGTCATTGTAATTGTGGAAGTAAGTGTAACTCTAGTTGCTTTCTTTCTAGTAAAAGAGCAAGAATTTATTAAAGACATGATGCAAAGGTCTAGGCATTTTTATGTTTTATTGCAAGATGTCATTGACATTCTTATTCTTGATAATCTTGCTTTAGCACTCTTTACATCTCATATGATCAATAGAAAAGAATTAGTAGGACAGAAAATAGGAAATTTCTATATCAAGCCTAAATCTCTTTATTAGTAATACCAAATGGAGTTAGAGGTTTTGAAAATTAATCTTGTAATTCCAAGAAGTATTTTGTATCTCTACGGGGATCATTAGGGGATGATTTAAAGACTTTACTTCCAACCAGTCTTGATAACATTCTAGGAAGGCATATTCTGGTGTTTAAACAATTTGTAATTTCTTTGAAGAGGTTGGCAAAAGGTGATCATTAACAAACTATTGGCAATAATTTTGGGATAGCATCATCTACTGCATATAAATATTTGAAAAAGTTCCTATAAACAACCAAAGAGAATAGATTTATAAGGGTTTAAATATAAAGGGAAAGGGACTCCTTTTTCTAATCAATTAAGGGTGTTAGGATATTTAAAGTTAAATGTCTTTGGGTTTGCGCATTACCTCTTGGGAAATTTAAATTTAAAAGCTTATATTTTGTATCAAAAGGGTTTTGAGCAATTTTGTTCGTTAACTAGAAAAAACACACTATATGGTAAGATTTATATTTGGTGGTCTAGTTTGGTTCGAAAAATAATCTATAAAGGTTCAAATATAAAAGGAAATAATCCATGAACAAAAGTACACATTTTTTTCCAATTAATTATCTTATTCCCTGTTTTTCAATTGAAATTCAGAAACTTACAATTCCATTGATCAATAATTCCATGGATCAAATTACTTGGCCTATAGATTCATAACTTTCAAGAGTTGAAAGGTTTCCTAAATTACCTTGGAGTTATGGATTGCATTGATATTCTAATTGAGCTTCCATTGAATATGGATCCAAAGAATTGGTATACTAGAGTAAAAATGCATTATTCAATAGTTATGCAAGAAACTATGGATAGAAAAGCAAGGTTTCTAGACTTTGTTATGGGACTTCTAGGCAATGTTCTTGATCGTCAAGTTTAATATATGTCAAAAATGAAGAGGGCAACTTTAATTGATAATTGGTTGAACTAAACCCTTTTAAGGTAAATGTTATTAATAGTTCATTAAGGAAAGGCAGCATTTTATTTGCTAATAGGGATAACTTCACTCCACAAAAGTGAACTTTGCTTGGCAGAAATGAACTTCACTCTTACTCTCACCTAGCTTTTAAGAAGGGAGTGGAGTAAAGATCACTCCAGAGTGAAAAAAAGAGCCACATTTGACCTGGCTCATAGATATATAAATCAAGTAGTGGAAGTGTGGTGGACCTATAACCCAGATAATCAAAACATCCAAGTTTTTTGTTTTTTAAATTTCGAAAATGCATACCAGAAACTAATTAAATTCCATAAGAAGCTACTATTTCCTCCATAATTTAAATAGTAATCTTTGTCAACACTGGACGACAAAAGAGCTCTCCAAGAAAGAATCGATCGCTCCCTGGAGGAACGCAAGCTCGTCTTGCAGATGCTTAAGAGCAGTAGCATGTTGGTCTGGAGGACAATCGCTGCAAGTTCCCAGAAGATATCCAAAATCAAAACCTCTGCCCCGCTTCGAAAAATCGGAACCAGCACTGACAAATCTCCCCTGAGAAGCCTGCTTTGCACACACGGAAGCCACTTCAAGGAGCACCTGTGAATCAACCCCGTCTTTGAGCTTCACAACCATGAAGACTTTGGGGCCGTCTCCCACTTGAGAGGCATCGTTGGTCTCCCAGTCGAGTCCGAAGAAGTCGTCGCATATTTGCCTCCCAATCTCCACAACTTTGAGATGCTCCGGATGTGGCGAGTAGTGCGCAAGAGCTGCTTTCCCGGAGAACCTGGCGTAGAGGGCGTGAGTAAATGAAAACGTACCGCTGATCTCCGCAATCCTGGCAGCTCTGAAGTAGAGAATGCCATCCAGGCTCTTGAGATTGTTGAGCGAGTGTAGCCATTCTTCTTCTTGAGAATTTGATACCTCCTTCTTCAGCCTGAAGAGGACCAAGTGCTCCACAAAAGCCATAGCTGCGGTTGTGGAAAGGAAAAACTTTGTTGCTGAAAATGGATAAAAAAACAAGGCACTTACCAGCGACATGAAGCTTCCGCAAGTAGACAAACTTAGTCAATTCATCGTCTACCGTTCTTCGTCATAGGCATCTCCTGGCCGCTCTGAAAGTTTCAAAGAGTCACATCTTGGATGACAAACATAGATAGAATTGGGAATTTTGTACCTCGCAGAATATCACTTTGACGAACTGTTGATCTTCAACCCCGCGAAAGTTCTAGTCATCGACTAGCTTCCAGCAAGTTCCAAGTTCCTTGGCCAGCACAACTAGTCCGTCCTGGAGTCCCTCCGGACGGAGCAGCCTGGCTACACTTCTCAGAGTTTTCTCGTGTAGCGGCTTCCAGTCGTGAGCTATGGGTGCCACAAGAGCTTCTGGAACGCTGTAAACAAGCTCCAGTGGCTCCGGCACCGCCTCCGTCTGTGCTCCTCCTCCGGCCTTTTGAGGATCCTTGAGTGGCTTGCAAAGATCCAAGGACGCGGACTTGGCCACCCGGATCTGCGTCCGGAGCTTGTACTTCGCAGCATACATCTTCGCCAGCGACGATCGAAACAAGTACCCGATGAGCTCGCACATCTCCGCTCGGTTTGTCGAGTGCTGGTACAAGTCGGCCAGCGCTCGCAAGATCTTGTTGACGTGAGCATTGTTGTGAACCTGGTTCTCGTGAAAGAGCCGCATGCATGGAAGCGTGTTGTCTTTGTCGTCGAGAATGCCTACTCGCTTCAAGCTCTGGACGGCGTGCCCCACAGCGCCGTCCACGCAGAAGACGGTCTTCTCCACTTTCGAAACCGTTCCTCTCTTGTTTGAGGACGGCTCCCACTTCGTTTTCAACTTCTTGGTCTGGAAAAAATGGTGGCCGAGGAACAGCGTCGGCGTTGAGATCGCCTCAGGTGCTCCAAACTCCGGCTCGCGATGATACTTTTGCTTGCAGAAGACTCTACACTTCTCCTCGAAGCTCAAAACGTCGTCTCTTGTGCCTCTGACCGAGATAAGGAAGTGAGCTCCAAAGCGGACGTACTCCATTTTCCTAGCATTGTTTGGCTTCTCCTGCTCGTCGGTGCTAAAGCTTACACCGATGGACGGATCGTGAGGCCGACGGAACAGCTCGGCCTGCTTTTCCATCCAGGCGTCGAGCTCGCTTAGATAAACGTTGGCCAGAAACGGACCCAGCTTGTTGCAGCATCCCCAGTCGGGAGTTCTTTGAGCCTCTGCCGGAGCAAATCCCAGAACCACCTCCAGCCACAACGGAGTCCTTCTCGGCTCAAACTCCAGGAACTTCCTCTTTGTCGGCTTCAATCTCTTAAACGGAAGCACGGCCGGAGGAGCTCGTGTCTTCATCCCCTTGATGATCAGCTCGCCAACTTTGTCGTCCTGGATCACATTGCGTAGAACCCGGTTGAAGAGCTCGGCCTGTGGATAATCGAAGAGCTTGGAGAGATCTCCTTTCACAGTCCACGAGACATCACCAAAGTTGCCGTGGATGAATCGCAGGCACTCGCGAGCACCCCTTCCCGGCCTATATCAATACCAGTAAAAAAAAAAAAAAAGCCCAAAAGGTTGGGGAGACGGCAGGGCAGCTTCATGCTTGCAGGTTACTCTAGAGCATCCCATCTGTTCCAAAACCATGAGTAGAACCTCCTGGACGATCTCGTCCTGGAAGCTCTTCTCGTCCACCTCCGTGGCCTCTATAGCCGTCTTGTGTGGAGGACAAACGTACACAACCTTCGTCCCACCCCAGCCATAGCAATTCGCACACACCGCTTCCATGAGAAGCTCCAGCGTTTCCAGAGTTTTGGGAGGGAGAGAGCTCACGGGACTCCATAGCTTGTTGTTGTAGCAGGCCCTCTGGTAGGCGCAGATCCAGAGGTCGGGATTTCTCAAGAGCCCGCCCAAGCAATGATGCTTCTTGTCGCTGTGCTGCTGGAAGCTCCAAATCCAGTGATAGGTGAGGAGAAGAGTGGCACGAATCCGGGCTGCGCTGGTCACCGGGCACGAATCGATCTGTGCGACGGCCCTGGCATCGAAGAATGCCGGCGGAGGATTGCGCTTCTTGCGCGGCGGCGGGGGATAGGAATAGTACCTCTTGGAGACTACGGAGGCGACGAGCTTCTTGGCACGGAACCCTAACATTCTCTACTAATGAAGACGCTTAGTAGTACTTTTTTTAAAAGAAAAAAGATACTTTATTTTGGTATATCAATTTTCTTTTTCAACTTAATTTCCAAAGTTTTGTGGATTATTAAAATAAAAGTCTACGTTCCCACTTTATAAATAGGGCCTAGTATTACCTTTTTTATTTATAGAAGGAAAATAATCACTTAAACAAAATGAAAGTAAACTCTGTGTTACTATTGTTATCATTTCTATTAAACATAGTAATTGTTTTGGAGAGTAGTTTAGAATATGTTGGGCATGAAAATGTCATCCCAGTTGGTGGGCCACGAGAAGTTATCTTGAACACATTAGACCAAGTAATGGATTCCATTGATGACCATCATAGTTATCCATATGGTAGAGGTTTTGCTTTCTATAATGTTACGAGTACTTGCCCAGCAAATGCTGGGTGGTTTACAAAGAGGTTCAATATAAAACCTCTTTATAGACAGTGTTAATTGTAAAAACAGAAGGATCTTGAGGAAGGAGGTGGCCTTGGCGTGTGGTGTTTTGAACTTTAATTCCAAGTCCATGTGGTGATGTGCATCTTGATAAAGCCACATAAAGTTGTCCATGAGTGAAAACTGGGTGGGGCAAGTAAACTCCAACTCGGTCAAATGTCTGTCCTTGGCATTTGGAGATTGTTAAGCAGTAACCCAAACGAATTGGAAATTGTCGTCTGGACATTTTGAATGGAATTTCTGTATTTGATGGTATTAGTGTAATACGTGGGATAAAAACTCTTGTCCCTTTAAATTGCCCCATCACAATTTCACAATCTAAAACATTTGGTAGTGCATTTTTCAGGATGAGACGTGTACCGTTGCATAATCCTACTGATGGAGACATATTTCTTAGGAGGATAAGAATAGCACCTTGTTTGAGAGAGAGTTTATGTGGTGGGAGACTAGAAGGTGTGATAGAATTTAGGAATTCTGTTGGAAAATTTTCAGGATGTTCAGTGTCAACAAAATCAATGCTTTTGTAAATGTATGTATCACATTGTAATCTAGAGACAATAGTGTTGTTGAATGCAAATGTATCATCGTTAAGTGGGGTAAGTATGACTCGGTTGGCTGCAATATAAGGGTTTGAAATATCAAGTACTGAAGGGTAGACAAAATCAATAATTGATGAATAAATTAGTTGTGTATGAGGTAATAAAATGGAGTTAGAAGGTAAAGATGGTAAATTTTCAAAATTTTCACCATTTCCAACTTTGAGAAGCCATTCAGACCATGATTTATCACTTTCAGCAAGCCGCATATTTGTTTTCAAAGATAACTTTCTAAATAATCTCCATAATTTATTCATTCTTACAGAACTTGAAACAATTTGTGCCCTATGTCCATGTGGAATGACTGGAAGTGTTTGTCTAAAGTCCCCGCTAGTAACAACAATTATGCCACCAAAAGGTAATGATGTATTTTTTAGGTCTCGCAACACTCGATCAACAGCAGTGAATGCATGAGTGTGAACCATACTTATTTCATCCCATAACAATACGTTAGTAGTTTTGATTCTTATACCTGCTTCACTATTAGCAGTTATAGCGGAAGTTGATGTTTCATTTATTAGAACAGGAAGTTTAAAAGTAGTATGTGAAGTTCGGCCATTATAAAGTAAAGTACTTGCAATTCCTGTCCAAGCCATGCTAACAACATTTATTTTTTTCAGTTGTAAAATATTTATAAGAGTGTTAAGAAGAAATGTTTTACCAGTACCACCAGGACCATCAATGAAAATGTATCGATTATGCTCAGTTGGGTGATCAATAACATTAAGAATATCATTAAAAATATTTAACTGTTCTTGATTAAATTGAGGAATATTTTGTTCAACATTTTGATATATTTGTGTTGAGTTGACAATATTTTCATCATCAAATTTTTCAGACGGCATAGGTAGATGATAGTTTTGATTAGTTTTGCCATGCATTTTCATTTTAATATTTATATCATGTAAAGCATGTTCATAATGAAAAATTGGATTTGTTTGCATGAAATCCTCAGAGAGGAAGTCTTTAAATTTATCCCACAGGAGGTAAGGATCTTTTGGAGTGCAAAAGATACAAAGTAATACAAATAATTGTCTTAATTGTGATGGCATTCTAAAAAAGCAAGCATCTTCTAAACATTTTTCCCATTCGGTATCATCAGCTATAAGCCCCATTGCATCTGCAACTTGTTGAAATGTGTCATAATAAATATTGTTAACTGTCTTGAGATCTTTGAAAGATGTAGCACCTTTTTTATGGAGTAAAATAAGACGTAAATGATATAGTTCAACATTAGATGGCGACACAGAATACATTCGAGGAATGACATTTCTTGTATGTCGAATTTGCCAGTTATGAGTATAAGGGTTAAATGTATAATATAAAGGGATTTCAGGATATGTATATTGTCTAGCATTTGGGTCATTTATATTTAATTCAAACCATTTTGTCAACATCGTACCATTTTGAGTAGCTCTTTGAAGTGCTATTTGTTCAGAACCTTCTATAAAATAGACGTTTTGAAAATTTGGAAGATGGATAGGAAGACGGATTATAGGGGTCGAACGACCATGCATTTTAAATTTAAAAAGTCTCCATATTGCTTCTGGAGCAGATACATAACGTGTATTTAAAAATGTTGAGATTTCATCCCAATTTAAAATATTATCAGGTTGTTGGGTTGCTGAATGGATTTCAATTGTAGCACAATCATAACCTTTATAAACATATTGAAATAAATACTTAATACTTTTTATAGTAGCACAAATTTCAATATTAATATGAGCATTATATTTTTTACAAAGGTATTTATTATAAGGTACTACCCAACGATTATCAATATAACACCCATTTTTTAGAAATGTGCGGCCATTATCAGGTCTATAATAATCTGGATATCCATCAACACAAAAAGTAGTTTCATAATTAAATTTTTTTGGATAACCTTTTGAGCAAGTGCCATTTTCCATGCAAAGACTATTAGGGTAAAGAGGCCCACATGGACCATGTATCATATGAGATGTAATTATTTTAGAAATTTCAGGTTCCTTTTGAGGATCAAGCAATTGTGCCGTTATGTATTGGTCAATAGCATCACGGTCTTTAATCTTGTTTTCATGAGATAAAATCCCTAGAAAGTGACAATGTGGAAGGCCTCTCTTTTGAAATTCAATTACATATATAAAAGCAATACAATTTCCAAAAATATGTTTTTTAGTAATATCATTCAAAAATTCTTTAAGCTTGATATGAAATACTCTAGAAACCAAGTCTGGACGATCCTCAGGGCTTTCATTTGGATGTAAGTTTTTAGAAATTTCTGGCCATTTGGGATTGCATGTAAAAGTAATGAAAAGATCTGGCTTTGAAAAATGAGTAACTATAGCCATTGCATCTTGATAATTTTGTTGCATTGCTCTAGGGCCACCCCCAAAACTTGAAGGTAAAATAACAATCTTGCCTGGATTTATATTTTCATTAGTAGCACGGTTTGCAACATAATCCATAAGACCAGTATACATTTCAACTCGCAATTGTTTTTGATGGGTGCGATAGTAATTCAAATTATTGCTTTCAACTTTTACATAAGCATCGACAATATACTGTTGTGTGAGTTTTCCTGCATGTAAAATTTGATCAAAACCAAAGCGTATTGTGTCTCTTATAGATAAATGGTATGCATAATATTGGAGCAATGTAATTCGACGTCTGGAATTAAAAATTTTTTCATGCCAACCTCTATCACCAAAAGGAAATATTAATGGGTAAACCATTGGATCACAATTATAATCAAGTGTTGAGATACATTTAGAATTGCTTGCAATTGGATATATACAAATTTCACGACTATGTGGCGGTTCTCCATCATCACTAACAAATACAACAGCAACATCATTTGTCCGTGGAGCATTATAGCGTCGTGGATCAGTTCCTTCAGTTTTTAATAACATATAAACACCACGTATAGGATAACCTGAAAGCGTAGCAGAACGAATTTCTTCTTGTTCCATTTCATACATCATTTTGAAAGCTTGAGCATATGGGTTAACATGACGAAGGAGAGCATCAAGATGTTTAAGTAAGTTTGTCTCACAACTTGAATTAAAAGGGTTTTGCTTTCTTATATTTGTAGCTTCTAGAGTATCAAGCATATAAAGTTGTCCATAAGTTCGATGTTGACCTTCAGAAGGATGTGCTGAAACAATATTATGATATATTTGACCATGGATTTTAAAGCAATAAGGACCATGACCCTTTACAATATCAATATTAGAAGACATAGATGCAAAAGCAAGAGCACTATTATAGTGTCTAATATTTGTTTTAAAATTAGAGTTCTTATTTTGCTTGTAAAGTGAAAGTAAATCAAATGGTAAGGGTGAAATTGGAGGTAATATAACTTGGTTATTCTGGCAACACATTGAAGAGTTTTCATCTTTAAAATGCAATGCATTACAAAAAGTACAAACAAATGATAAACTACCAATATTAAAATTTATTATGTTAAAGTCATTATAGATGCTATGGCTTGCTAATGTGGTATTCATGGGTGGGAGTGGTGGATTTAATATTGCTTGATATATGTAATTGTCATAATGACATGCATGTAAGGTTCCAGATGCCTCTGAGTGTCCAACTGATTGCTGTATATAGTCATTATCATGATTAATATTTAGGTGTATAGAATCATTATCATGATTATTTTGAACAGCTATAGTATGTGTATCATGATCAATCATAGTTTCAAAGGCATCTAAATCTCCATTAGGTTGTTTACTATGTCGTATGGTTCTCAAAAGATGGCGGAGGCGAGGCATTTTCAGTCACTTCAATTATAGGTTTGATTATATATATATATATTTTAATTGAGTTTGTATAGAAATTTATGCAGAATAGAAATGTAGACTACAGTTGGATATATATAAATTTCACAACTATGTAATGATCTGAAAGGAAAATATTAGACTTTTGCAAAGCACACTCAAGAACAACAAAATAACTCCAATGTTGTGTTTACCAATCTCTGGCAGCTCTCCAAGATTTCCAATGTATAGTCTGGACTTTGGATGGGGGAAACCAGCCACTGTTAGACACGCTACGAAGCTGTGGAACGGCTTCTGCTTCTACGACCCGTCACCGAGAGGTGGGAAAGCCATTGAAGTCACGGTGTTCCTTCCTCCTGAAACAATGGCGAAGTTCAGTGAGAAAGTCAAAACGAATTAATCCTGTGTACCACCTTACGTGTTAATATCCAGAGTCCATGACTTGACTCCAATCAATCCGTGCGTGCTTTTTAGAACATAATATCCCCGCGCCTCTAGGAGTCCCGGTGCTGCTTTGCTTGTCACTGCGAGTTCGGGCTTGGATCTTCGACGGGGTGAAGATGAAAATGGACGACTTTCAAGTGAAAATCACCGAGGTACATCTTCTCTCGCCTGCAAATCCCACAGAGAGGTGTCAGCTCCCCTTCACAACATTCGCTCTAATGCAAAAGAGGGACTCCATGCCATACCTTCAAAGAGTAGCGTTCTATGAATCCACTGGTAAAGACGCAGATCTCCAACAGGGATCATACCAAACGCTGCCGCAAATGGGAGGATTTCCTCAGACCAGAATGGCCGCCATTCAAGAACAGCTCGATGTAAGCCAGCATCTCCTGCTTCGCCTAGGCCTCGTTGATCCTACCATTACTCTCGCCCCTGTTACTTACCACGCACAGGCTCTCACGGGAATGCCCCCAAAACCGTGTCCGACCAGAGCAGCCATGGAGCCCTAGGAGTGCATGGCATAACACCTGTCACCACGCCCTCTTCCCTTCCCGGCCACGCGTGCATCCCGCCCATTGGCCGCCACAACATTGAGCCGATATTCCCGCTAACCATGGCCACCGGCCCTGGCCCGGGCCTGGGGTGGCCTCCCCTTCCCGAGGACCATGGCTTCCGAGGCTGCCCCGGGCCTGGGATCGGACGGCTGCGGGGGTGTGGGTTCTTCGTTCTTATTATTATAGATAGGCTCTTATAGAGTGTTAGTTGGTGCATGGATGTTAGGGCCTGTAAATTTAAATGGATACTGTAGTGGTCAATGGGATGTTAAAGGTGGTGCTGGTGGTGAAGAACTAAAGCTTGGGTTATTTCCAATTTATCATGTTCTTAATGATAAAGCTAAATGGAAAGGTTATGATGCTCTAATAGTTGTTAATAACAATTTTATGGCTCTTTATTATTTAGAATATGGATCAAAAATTCCCAACTTAGAAGCTTTTAATACAATATATATAAATGATTCTGACACCACATCTCTTAAGCCAGAAGACTTTTATGATTGTTGGATTTTGTATTCAGGTCTTATTAGTGGAGAGGACTATAATACCTTTTCTTTTATGATGCCAGGCACAATAAAGCTCTCACCAAATAACATTTATCAACTAAATTTGTTAAACAATTGTGAGCTACAATTAATGCATGTTCCAAGCTCACAAGAATATTGGAAATTAAATACTGGTAATCTTGGAGAAAATGGATGTATACTAAGACTTCAAACTGATGGTAATTTAGTTTTATATACAAGAAATAAAATTTCTTTATGGTCAAGTGATAAATATTGTAAATCTCCTTGTGAAGCACCTTCAATTTTAGCTTTACAAGATGATGGGAATTTGGTTGTATATCATAGTTTAACTGGATATGCAGCATGGCATATTAGATAAAAATTTTAGAAATAAGAAATTAAAATATAAATTGATTTCAATTTGTCAAAAAATGATAATATTTTAAATAAAAAAGTATATTAATATTCATTCTCTCTATTTTAGTATAATTTCTTAAATTTTTATTTATATGCTTTTTCTTATTTATAGCATGTCTCAATTTTTGACAGTTTTGGTATAATTCAAAAGGTATTTTACCATTAATAAAATGATGATTTCTTATTTAACATTTCAAAAGAAAAAGTTGAAATGAAAAATAAAGTTTCATAATGAAATATAGTGTTCTCAGAAACCATTATGAGTTTTAACTATAGACTTATAGTGATAAATATGGTTAATAAAGAGTTAAACATAATGTAATACATCAAGCAGTATTATTGTATTAAAGTGTTTAAAACAATATTAAGTAAATCTACTATACACATTATATATATATCTATACTAATTATACTTATAAAACACCATTAAACTTGAATATATATTACATTTTGAAGTCTATATGTTTTAGTAGACGCTCAAAGTGAAAGGTACATGTCAAAAAAATCCTTAAAAACAAATAAAGGACCACTCTTGAAAGTTGAGGAATGCTTCCAAGTGCCTAAACCTGCTATCCATATTAACCATCAGTTTCAAATAAAGTAATTTGATATAATGTTAAATTATTTCTTCCTTGATGAATGCCATATAAATTAAAATTATATTAATTACATCTTTCAACTTGAAACACCAATTAAGAAGCCAATTATAATCATTTGTTTAATATTTTTTATATGAATTAAGTTGCATTATTTTATAGGTATTTTAATAATAGGACTTTTCACTTTTTAAACTTTACACTTTACACTTTAATACTACAATATATAAATTTAGCTACTTATTAGAAAGCATTATATTTTTGTCACACATATAATGAACTAGAATTGAAGTGAGAGAGAGGGTGGATCTTCTATGGGAGGGTGGTTTTCTATAATGGTGCATTGAAAAGTGGGTCAATATGATAAGCAATAGTAAGTATGAGGGCGCATTCATGAGTAATTGCAATTGAGTCCACTGAAATATATATATATCTGGCATCTCCTAATTCTTTTATAGGTGAAATAAAGAATCATTTAAAAAAATTAAATAGTCCCATTCAAATATTAAAATGCATACAATAACTTATCATAGATATCAACATGATTATGTGTATAATATTTTTATATATGTGTGTAATAAAAAATATCCACATATATGTAAATAAAAGATGTACCAATGTGCAATCACATAATTGCCATAAATTAGTGGAAAGTAAAATAATAAAATAAAGAATAGAAAAGTAATAATTAAATATAATTTATTTATCCATCTACAAAAATGAAAATTTGAAAGTAAATTAAACTTTCCCTATGTTTCAAGAATTCAACCTGTATTGTAGAAAAACTTAAACATCCTAACTTTTTAATATAACTATGAAAGACATGAATAGTCCTAAGAATACCTAGTACTCATGAAATTATTAGTAATTAAAGTGAAGGACACATAAATGTTACATCACTATCAAATAAGTATAAGAAATGCTAGTAAAACTTATATTATAATGAGGTATTTTTTTCTAAATAATAGTTAAGATAAACTTGTCTCTAAATAACTTAGCAACAACTGAGGACAACTGAAGACAACCAAGAACAACTGAAGTCAACTGAAATCAACTAAAGACAATTAACATAACTAAAGACAAACAAAGATAGATTAGTTTATTGGAACTGTCTTTGATCCAACTTTCTTGGTTATAAAATATTCACTAGAATCTTTTTGCCTATGGAATGGCTGCAAATGGGCCATTAATGGGCATCATAGCCCATCAAAGCTGGAATCTTATTGGCTATGGAATGGATGCAAATGGGCCATGGATGGAGTATCATGGCCCATTAGGGCATAAGCTTTCCTATCTAGTCACTGCACAATTTTGCCCTAGTGGCACTGGCTAGCTTACTATAGTCCTAATAAGTTGTGGATGCACATGGATATGGGATTAAGAGCTTTACCTCCTCCATATTTTATACAATTATAATAACATCGTCAAAGGTTTATAGATGATGGCCACAAACAAATATTACACTTGGGCCAAAAATAATAAAGAAAGCCCAACTTAATCCACTTGAGAAATTCTTCATGCATTTTCCAAAGCATATTGCATTTTGATCTTATTAATGTCATAGCTTGAGGACATCATCATGAGGTGTTATAAAGTTTGCAAACTTTAAGGCTATATTACTTTTCAAGTATAGAGGAAATTTATAAAACTTCACCACATCAACCTAACTATTTTATGTAGCCACTATACCAAATGCTCACTCTAAGAGTATACATCCTTTATTAATAATCTAACAAATAGTGTCAAATGAAGACAAGGATTGTAACTAGCATAATTCATTGCTAAATGCTTGCAACACTGATTATATGCCTACATGATTTTGTGCAAGTTACACAAACACTAATGCCAATTGCTCCTCTAGCCATGGAGGAGGACCACATTCCCTTGCCATCACACAAAGTTTCAAATAAGAAATAAAACTTATTTAGCATCTCCACCAATAAGATAACCACTTAGTATGGTCCACAAACCTGATTTTTATCTTAATCTAGATTAGCTTAGTGTTGATTTTTTAATCTACATCTATTAAATCAAATTTTGTGGGTTGTTTGATTTGGCTAATTAGTGCTATTGGATGTGGGGTAACCCAATAAATATCACTTTTTTATTGCATGTCTTTTTGAAAAATATTTGCAAGGTTGGGTCATCCAATAGGCAATAGTGTGAGCAACACTTTGTAAACAACCAAAGGGAATGATTTAAAAAACCATCCATGGGGTTTAAATATAGAGGGAAAGGGCCCATGAATAACATGACACGTGGAGCACTTGGACTAAATGCAAAGGTTGAGTGGCATGGATGCCATTCTCGGGGATAACAAGCCCCAAGTCTAGAATAGAACTTATGGAAGTTGTGAGTGAGACTTCTCCAAGTGGTTGGAGGTGTGGTTAAGTGGCTAAAGTAAAATGGAAAAATTAGTCGTTTACAATACTATTCAAACCCAAAGACTCTTAACCTTATATTATCTAGCAATTGAGTGCTATAAGAAATCAATTGATCTAATATATTGTTAACACTTCTATTATCATATAAGCTATTAGATTTAGATTTATTGGGAAGTCACTCAAATTAATACTATTCAAACCTAAGGATGCTTAACCCTAAATATCTCAAGACTCTTAGCCAATTAAAAAAGAGAATGCACTCTTGTTTATAGGCCCTTTCCTTCTATATTTGAACCTCTATAGATCATCTCTTTAATCATTTCTTTTTGTTACTTATAATTCACTATATTTTCTTACAAGTTCATGCCCTCGTGAATTAAAGCTAAGAGTTGTAACTCTTTTAAGAGCTCCACTCTCTTGATACCCTACCCCTCAATTGGAGGCCCAATTGGAGGCAAAATGGACCTACTAGATGTCAATTTCATCTCAACATATGGCTATAAATTCACACCCTCATGAACAAAAGCTAAAAGCCATAACCCTCTCGAGAGTCCTGCTCTTTTGATGGGTCAAATATTAAACCTACCAAATGTCAATTTCAATATATAGTATGATTCTTCTAGCTAACCAATAGAGTCAGACCCAAGACTTCTTTGATACCAAATATAAGTTGGTAGATTTGAACTTCCTGGGAGGTCACCCAACTTAGTACTATTTAAACCCAAAGACACTTAACCCCAAATATCCTATGACCCTTAATCCCAAATATCCCAAAACTATTAATTAATTGGAAAAAGAGTGCATTTTTATTTATAAGCCCTTTCTTTTTATATTTGAACCCTTATGAATTGTCTCTTTAGTCATTCTCTTTGGTTCACGCCCTCGTGAATGAAAGGTAAAAGATACATCTCTCTCTCGAGCCCTACTCTCTTGACACCTTACCCCTCTATAGCGCATGTGATCATAAGATAAAATTTGAATATACTGTCACTGTGGATCTTTAGAACATTAAGGGATAAATGAGGATAAAATAGCCATTAAGGGCTCTTTCATCAAACAATTGCCCCTTTTCCAGTTGGTTTAAGGGAAGAGAGATAAGGTGTATTACATATGGTATCGGAGAAAATGGCACGAGTTTGATTCCCATTGATTAGTGACTACTTAAAATATAATATACCTTGAGCAAGGTATATTCCTACCCATAAAATTGAAATCATACATATTGGGCATCTATTGGGTATAGGTGGATGATTAGTTGCCTCATATGAAATAATTGATCTATACAATGGAAAGATTGAAGATTTGGTAAATTTAGTTTGAAAATAAAGATGATAACTCCCCTTGGCTCAGTAGAGATTGTTAGTTAATAATCCCTCGTGAACAAAAGAATCTCAACATGTAGTGTGATTCCAACAAAGTCAGACTTGAGACCTTTCTAATACCCTGGTGGATTTGGACTTTCAGTGAGGTTATCCAACCTAATACTATTAAAGCCCAAAAATGATTAATCCTAAATATCCCAAAATCTTTAACTAATTGAAAAAGAGGGTGCCCTTTCTCTTTATATTTGAACCTTTATGGATCATCTATTGAATTGTTCTCTTTGATTACTTATATATCACTATAGATTTTTTTAAAACAAATTCAATTCTCTAGGTAAATGAGTGGTAGTTTAATCCTCTAATGTTCTTGTAGTACAAGAGTGATTCAACTCTATTGTTCTATCCACAAAATTTGTGCTCATCTAGTTTATTAGTGTTAAAATCAAACTCCTTGAGGATATATATAGCCAATTCTTAAACTTATAATAATCAAAATTTATCTATAACATTATAAGCATGCTATAGCAAGGAATAAAAATAAAATAATTATGAACTATGTTGTAACAAAACCTACTATCACCAAGTACCACAATATTCTTGGTTTACATAATTTAATGGTTCATACATTGTTTTCTTCTTTGATTAATCAAGTTTGCCCTACAGTTAATGTGAACTTGGCACTCCTAACATTAGTGGTGTATTACACTTTTACTTTCAAATGACAATTTAATTTGCATTACAATTGATAAAATTCCAATAACATACTTGATATTAGTGGTATGTTTATTTTCTTTTATTTATTTATTTGAACTAATATATCATGATCTAATACTCTTGTAAAAGAGTTGGCTAATGTCTATATCATACTAACACTCTTCCAGTTCACACAAACATGCAATATCTACATTGCAATTACATCTACTTACAAGTATATAATTTTCTCTTAACATGCTTTTTACAACATTCTTACAGCAACCAAATGACATGTGGATTACTTCAACTTTTGATTCAACATTGCCACTATGTAAATAACATTTTTTGGTTGATATTTCATAATGTTTTTTTCACATAGCAAAGTGTCACATCAATGATATATCATAAGATAATATGTGGTGTTTAATTACAAGTAACATTTTTTAAGCCAATGGCCACTCTTCACTTGATAGAATTACCAACATACAATTGTTATCTAGAGCTCAATCATTACACTCTACACTTTTTGCAATAGCTTGTGGAGAACTAATGTTACCACCTTCCTTAATATCAGTATTCATGTATGGCTGCCACCCCCCCTCTCTCTCCTTCTAAGGAGAGAGAGAGAGAGGTAGCCAACTTGGTAGCTTATGCCATAGATGATAGAGGTGATGGAGTATTGTTGTTGGGTAAGTAGCTGCACAAACAATCAAATGTTTGATCTTAGCATTTTGGAGATGTCAAGACCAAAAGGAAATTATTTTCTAGACATATGAAACCTTTATACCTTGGGCTTTTTATTCTCACTTTGAAGTGTTGTACACATAACCACGGAATAGACCACCAAACATATCAATAACATATTGAGAAAGAGAAGTTGTAGCGGGTAGTTAACTTGGTAGCCTGCGCTATAGATGATAAGGTGATGGAGTGTTGTTGTTTGAAATGAACCAAATTAAAGGATCAATGCAAATTTTTCTCTTTTTCTTGGAGATGGAATTATAATAACTTTTGCTTTTAATCTCATGCATATCAAGTTGATGAAATGTTAGAATTGACACTTTTAGCATGAAGATCTAGATTAGGAATGGTAAGCCTCTAAGCATAAGTGCATGTGACAACAAGTAACTTGAGTAAATAAAAAGTAATAAAATTCACTACATTATTAAAATTATCCCATGCTAGCTCCAATTCTTTTGTTTCCATATTTTTAATATTTTATTATTAATTAAAATCTAAATTCCAAGGTTAGTTAAAACTTATTTATGGAGGTTTTGCATCACCAGCCAGTATTTGTCAGGCATTACTAGTAACCCATAAAATATTTTATCTTTTACTTAGATAAATATGATATTATTAATTGAAGTTAGAGAGAAAAAAGTTATTTACTATTTCTTAAAATTTCAGTAAGGAAATATATTTAGTTTATATTACCACCTTTTCTTTATCCATAATATGGATCAACCGGGTTTAGCTTTTGAAATCTATGTCCTTGCTGAAAACACAGGTCAGGGAGCTGCAGAACGCACTAGCCACAGCAATACGATCGTGTGGCATCGCTAAGGATCTCGCACAGGGTAGAAAGATCCACAACCAGATCGCGGATGGGGAGCACCGGGGCAATCTCTTCCTCCAAAATCTGATCATTCAAATGTATGGCAAATGTAGCCGGATCGATGATGCACAGGCGGTGTTCAATGAATTGCCCGAGCCCAATGTGTTCTCACGCTGTATCCTCATGCAAGCTTACTCCGAGAATGGCGATCTTGGCAGCGCCAAGGCAATCTTCGACCAAATCCCTTCCCACAATGTGGTTTCCTGGAACAGCCTCATCGCCGGCTTCTCGCAGCATGGATTCATGTCCAATGCGGACGAGATCTTCGCCAGGATGCCGCGTTGGAGCTCCTCGTCGTGGAATTCCATGATCACGGGCTACGCCCAGAGCGGGGATCTTGCCAGCGCCACCGCGATGTTCGATCGCACGCCCGAGCACAACGTAATCTCCTGGAACGCGCTTATCACTGGATACTCCGACAACAGGATGATCCCAGAGGCCAAGGGCGTGTTCGATCGCGCGCCAGGGAGGGACAAAATCTCCTGGAATGCAATGCTCACCGCCTATGCCCAGTCGGGCGACCTTGATTCCGCCAAGGAGGTCTTCGATCGAACGCCGCAGCAGGACATCGTGTCGTGTACGCTGATGATCAAGGCCTGTGCCGTCCAGGAGATCCTCGGCCACGCCGTGGAGATCTTCGCCGCCATGCCCGATCGCAATGCCGTGAGCTACAGCTTCATGATCCAGATCTACATCGACCAGGGGAAGATTGGCGAGGCCGAGAATCTTTCGCGAAGAATGCCCCAGCAAGATCCCACGCTATGGACGAGCATGCTCTCGGCCTACTCGCGCCATGGCCTTGTGGAAGAGGCGCGGAGGATATTCGACAGGGCTGCACGGCGAGACGACGTGTCGTGGAACGCGCTGATTGGAGCGTACGCCCAAAAGTGCGGCGCGCGGGAAGCTGAGCTGGCGCTTTCGAAAATGCCCCAGCGCGGGGTGGTGGCGTTCAACTCCATGATCGCGGCATATTCCCAAAGCCTTCAGCCCGGCCAGGCAAGGAGGATATTCGACGAGATGCCACGCCGCGAGGAGGTGTCGTGGAACGCGCTGCTCTCGGCATACGCCCAGGCCGGGCACCTCCACCTGGCAAGATCCACGTTCGAGAGAATGCCACGTCACGACGTCGTGGCGTGGACGGCTCTCATTGCGGTCAGCGGCCAGAACGGGCAGCTCGAGGAGGCGGAGGTGCTGTACGACCTCATCCCGGAGCGCGATCTCGTGGCATGGACGGCCCTGATCCAGGCGTACGGAGTCAACGGGAAGCTGACGGAGTCCAAGCGAGTCTACGCTCTCATGCCCGAGAGAAACCGCGTGTCACACACGGCTATGATCATCGCTTACAGCCAGAACGGGGAGGTCGTCCAAGCGAGAAAGATGCTCGATACCTTGCCCGATCCAGATCAAAGCACTCGGACATCCATGATCGTTGCGTATGCCCAAAACGGGTATATCAAAGATGCGCGAGAGATGTTTGATTCAATCAAGAACCCCGACGTGATAGCTTGCAATGCGATGATGGAGGCTTACTCGAGCGCCCAAATGCTCGATCACGCAAAGGCGATGTTTGATAGCATCAAGCAAAAGACTCTGGTCTCGTGGAACACCATGGTCGCGGCATATGCCCAAGCCGGGAATCTTGACGAGGCGAAGTCCATTTTTGATTCGATCCCACACAAGAACGTCGTCTCACACAACGTGATGATCGTGGCATATGCCCACAACATGGACCTCGCGGAGGCAAGGCGCATATTCTACTCCATGGACGAGAAAGATACCGTCACGTGGACGGCCATGGTGGCCATGGTGGCCCAGCACGGACGCCTCGCGGAGGCCCAAGAGCTATTCGCCAAAATGCCGTACCGAAACGTCGTGTCCTGGAACTCCCTCATTGCTGGTATGGCCAGCTGTGGCCACGGAATGGCCGCGGTACGGTACTTGTACGTGATGAGGAACGAAGGAGCCAAGCCCGACCATATCACCTTCATGGGAATTTTGATAGCGTGTAGTCATGTTGGCCTGGTCGAGGAAGGATGGACGCATTTCACTTCCATGCAAGGAGACCATGGTTTGATCCCTTGGCGAGAGCACTATTGCCGAATGGTGGATGTTTTGGGACGCGCGGGGCAGCTCGGAGCGGCCAGAGAGCTCCTGGAGACCATGCCGTTTATCCCCGACGTTGGAGCCTGGGGATCACTGCTTGGTTCTTGCAAAACTCACAGTGACGTGAAGCTGGGAACCCGGGCCGCCGAGAGTTTGCTCCAGTTTGATGATCAGAGCTCCGGGCCTTACGTTCTTCTGGCCAACATGTACTCTTCCGTTGGTCGAGTGGCCGATGCGCTTGCTGTGAGGAACCGGATGAAAGCTCGGGGTGTGAAGAAGCAGCCGGGAGTGAGCTTGATCAGAGTCGACGGCGTTCTTCACAGGTTCGTTGCTGGAGAGGCTTCGCATCCCCGGCACCAGGAGATTCTGTCCGAGCTTAGCAGACTCCAGGAGTTGATGAAGAAGGCCGGCTACCAGCCGGACACCAAGGCTGTTCTTCACAGCATCCTGGACGAGGAGAAGGAGGTGTTGCTGAGTTACCATAGCGAGAAGCTCGCCATAGCGTTTGCAAGCATCGCCTGTGAGCCGGGGACGCCGATTAGGATAATGAAGAACTTGCGTGTCTGCTCGGATTGTCACACTGCTACCAAGTTTCTGTCCAAGTTGCTGCAACGAGAAATCATAGTTCGTGATGGATACAGGTTCCATAACTTTGAGAACGGTACCTGTTCTTGCGGTGACTACTGGTGATTCGAAAGCTCCTGGTGATCACTGTTCTTGCAGAGGTTGGCCATCAAGGAGTAAGCTGCTCTGTTGCTTGCATCTAAACTGACCAATCTGTCGAAGGCCAGCCTTCCAGCTACCAAGATTCTGTCCAAGTTGCTGCAGCGAGAAATCATAGTTCGTGATGGATACAGGTTCCATAACTTTGAGAACGGTACCTGTTCTTGCGGTGACTACTGGTGATTCGAAAGCTCCTGGTGATCACTGTTCTTGCAGAGGTTGGCCATCAAGGTGTAAGCTGCTCCGTTGCTTGCATCTAAACTGACCAATCTGTCGAAGGCCAGCCTTCCAGTTTCCAAATTGTTCCACTTGCAGCATGCAGCAAGAACTGTCATCCAGATCATGGCGTTTGCGTCGAAAGGCATCCTCTTCACCATTTCGACTGCCTCGTCGAGTTGATTAGCGCGGCCGAGGACATCCACCATGCAGACGTAGTGCTCCATTCCCGGGACAATTCCAAACTCTTGGGAGGTCATTGTCCGGAAAATCTTCTTGCCGGTTTCAACGAGGCCACCGTGGCTGCATGCGGCGAGAACTGACACGAAGCAATTGCTGGTGATCTTCACACCTTCGTCCCTCATCTGATGATACAGGCCCAAAACACGTCCAACGTCTCCTTGTCGACTGTATCCGACTACTAGTGCGGCCACAGCTTCAGAACTTGTGCTAGAATCGCAGATATGTTGTGCCTCGGCCATGCTCCCACATTTCCCAAACGTGTCCACCGATGCCGTGAGTAAAACCATGTCGTCCTCGAAACCACTTCGGCATATATCTCCGTAGACTGCCTTCCCAATACTCAAAGTCACCAAGAGTCCACAGGCCTTGAGTAAAGCAGCAAAAGTTCGACAATCTGGCTTATATCCGTCCTTCTTCATCCAAGGAAACAGCTCCAGAGTTTCTTCTGCCTGCCCACAGTCGACATATGCGTGCATCAGAGTGTTCCAGGAAACAAGAGTACGAAAGTTCATACTCTCGAATACTCTGCAAGCATCGAACATGTTGCCAGAGCTTGCATAAGCATCCACAAGTGTGTTGGCAACAAACACATCAGGGTGAGCACAGGCCTGCGAGTGGATAGCATATTTAGTCTCAAGTGATCTCCAGTTACGTGGCTTACCATTTACAAGTTGTTTCTCCGTCGCTGCTACTGTGTTGCAAGCTTTGAGCGCGGCAATGTACGTGAGACAATCCGGTGGACACTCCCCCGCTGCTAACATTTGTTGAAAAAACTCGAGAGCAGCTTCGCCTTCCCCGTTTTCTGCGTATCCAAGAATCAAGGCATTCCACGAGACTGTAGTATGATGGGAACTTTGATCGAATGCCTTCTGAGAGTCTTGCATGCTTCTGCACCGAGCGTACATGTCTACCAAGGTATTCGTCAGGAACACGTCCGGGCCGCAAGTGCTCTTTGCCAGCCGAGCGTGCAAGGCCATGCCTTTCTCTAGAGACTCAACCTTCACCAGCTTTGGAAGATCGTCCAGCTTCTTGCCATTCTCTTTTGCCGCCAAGCCACCGCATGCTTTAAAAGCTGCGACAAACGTGCGAGCATCTGGCTGACAGTTCTTTTCCGCTTGCATCCGAAAGAGTGACTCAAGAGCCAAATCTTCTTCCCCGTTTTCGACATATCCCTGTATCAGTGAGTTCCAGGACACAACATTGTGACACTTCACACTGTCAAAAACCCTTCGTGCGTCCACCATGCTGCCACACTTCGAGTACATGTCCACAAGTGCGCTCTCCAAAACAATGCTCGACTGGCAGCCGCTGTTTCTAGCTCTAGTGTGGACGATCTTGCCTTTCTCCAGACTTGTGACTTTGACAAGGCTCTTCCCGATCAGCCTCCCTTCTTCCTTGATAGCTAAGCGCGCGCAGCTCTTGATAGCAGCAACAAATGTAAGCGCATCTGGCCGGCAACTTTGAGTCTCTAGCATGAGGTCGAACAGCTCCAGAGCAAGTTCTTCTTCACCATTTTCTGCGAAACCAAGTATCATAGCAGTCCACGAAACGACGCTCCGTGATTTCATCCTGAAGAAAACTCGGCTCGCATCCTCCATGCTTCCAGACTTCGCATACATCTCCACGAGACTGTTCGCCACAAACTCATTCAACTCGAATCCACTGACTGTTGCGTGAGAGTGAAGCGCCATTCCCTTCTCTAAAGTCTGTTCTTTCACCGAGACCCCATCGCCTGCCCTCTCTCCTTTAGTTGCCATGTTGGTGCAAGCCTTGAGAACCGCCACAAAAGTCTGAGAATTCGGACAAAGTCCTTCCCTGTCCTGCATTACCACGAACGATTTCATAGCCAAATTCTCCTGTCCATTCTCGGCATACCCCTGAATCAATGCGTTCCAAGAGACCACATTACGCCGAGGCATCTCTTCGAAAACCCTGTGCGCCTCCGCCAAGCTCCCACACCTCGCATACATGCTCACCAGCGCCGCCGCGACGTGAGGGTGCGTGTGAATCCCACTCTCGATCGCATCGAGATGAAGCATCTTACCCCGTTCTAAATCCCCCGAGCATACCTTGAGAGCGCCGATCGTCACGGCGATCTCTCCGCGGGTCCTGTACCGGGAGCCAGGAGCCGGATTCCCGAGCTCCAATCCGCCATGCCCCAGCATGGGCAACAGCCCTAAAAACATTGTGTTTTAATTCAAATTCAAACTCTCCCACCGTGTGTACGTGTACGACTCAGATCTAGCATATATTGCGCCCTTGGATGCCTCGCATCCAAGGGCTGGAATTCGTTTGGCCATTCCACGGCGGAAAGCACACCTCAAGTACAAGCGGGGATTTCGCGAAGGAAAAAATGTACACTTGAAGGACAGTCCTCCAAATTACGCCGGACAGAATATACTTAAATCGCAACGGGATGTATGGTTGTTAGTGTGACACGGGGGTTTAAACTAGGGTTTCTGTGATGCAAGTGGAGAAAGGCTTTATCGACGGGAAGAACTGCGCTAAAGAAGGGCGCCGACGCGAGCATCTCTCACATCGTCCCCGATCAAAGTCGCAAGATCCGAGCGCCGCTGGCCGGTATGGCGCCGCTATTGCTGCTGGGATCGTCAGCGCCGCTGCTGCGCCACCGAAATTTTGTGGTGGAATGCAGGTCGCGCGCATTGATTCCTAGCGTTTGCGCTCGAATTCTTGTGGATCAGCGGCTGTCTGCTGATTTCTTGGTCTCTTTCTTGTGGATCTTGCGTCTGCTTGCGGTGTGGTGTTGGTGTTGGTGATGGATTTCTTTGCGTGATGTGTGGAAGAGCAAGACGAGAGATTTCCTGGCGAGATTTTGTGAAGCTGAGAATCGAGCTGCTTGCAGTTAGAGGAGACTGATTTGACAGAAGAAAGAGAGCACATTTGGCTGCACGCTCTTGGTTCTAGTGTGTCACTCATGCGTGCTCTTCTTCTTCTGTCATATCGCAACTTCTGAGGCCTCGCTCTCATTAGGCGCTGTTTCAAGACACACGAGGAATGCATGGAAGGTATCCTATGACTGTTGCACTGAAGGCTTTTCTTTTTCCTCTCTTGCAGGCGCTTGCTCGTCAGTTTGGATCAAGTACGTGAAATATGTGGCAAAGGAAATGCTTCAAAGCACGGGACATGGGCGGTGTCGCGTGCGATCTGGCGGTTGAATCGGTGAGTTTCGTTTTGTTTGGCGAGGACTTTTCGTGAGTGTTTGTTCCTATACTCATTTTCCATTAATCGGCAAACAAGAACGAGGCCTGTGTAAGACTTTAACAAATGTGTATGCTCTTGATGTTGCCTCTGGCTTGAATAACTGTGAAGGGACAGGGATAAAAGCGCTAAAGGTGTTGATTGCCACCAAACCTGAGCTACAAATGGCGAGCAGATCGATCTATGACAAAAGGTCAGCAACGTGATCATTTCACGCATTTTCTGGTCTGAGTTCGGGTGTGGTTTGCCGGGCTAATATTTGAATATGAGAATGCGGGGCTTTTCGTTGCCGTTCATGTGGCTTGCAGTCGCATCAAGATCTAAAGTTTCTCTTGAAGACGCACTGTATGTATATGCGTGCTTTCTTACGTCCTCAGCATTGCCATGGGTAAGTCAAACTTGATTGCCTCTAATAGGTTAACCTCCATTGAATGCAGGTTGTGGTAAATATGTCCGTTGATGGAGAATACTGCGTTCTTAGCATCGGTTTTATCGTTACCAGTGGAGCGCAAAATAAGCTTACATAAGGATTCAACACGTAGGAGTTCAGTAGATTGGCAGATTCGCAATCTTCATCTGGCGACATTTCTTCTTGTTGTATTTCTTTGCAGCGTTTTCTTTTCCGATCCATCTGAGTCTACTCTCCATTTTCGGCTATAGTAGTACCGATAACAGGGAATGACACCAGTGAGGGTTATATGGATATTTATGTAGTGAAGTGTATCGTTTTCTAACAATTTCTGGCAGTTGCTGCGTGGATGTCAAAACCTCACACATGCATTCGGAGCAACATAACACAGCAGTCAACCAGCAACAGTTTCAAAGGGGTATAATTGTCAGCGCAGCATTGGCCGTGCAAGGCACTTGGACTACAGCTCTTGACAGATGATCACAGGTTGAGACTATGGCCTGTGAGTGCGGTTTAATAGCCATGACGAAAAGCGGGCGATCCCAGTACACACGTTTTATATATTTCGTGATCTGCAGGGACAAGTATGCTATACTTTATGCGATCACCGACGATATGGACAGATTTTCTGAGGAGATACGAACGTGAAATCCGGTGTTGATATTCTGTGCAGCTCAATCTACATTTCAGAACTATTTTGCAATAGCTTGTGTTTCTAACTGTTTCTTGAAGCAGGCATAGATCTACAGAAGAAAAATTCAATGAGTTTGGTGATCGCTTCATTGTATTCACATCAAGAGGTTCTTGAGCAGTTCAGTCAGAAGCTCTAATTGTTTTCGCAGAAGCTCTTGATCGCGTGAGGGAAGACGGATTAATCATGGTAAAGCAACTTCATAAAATATTGACAATGAGTTTTTATTACGCAGGGTACGGAATATTTTCGTCTTTTCTCCGAGAGCAATCGACCAGTCTTTGGTCAGTGTTGCTTGGAGCGATGCGGAAGACCTGTCCCAGCTGAACCGTATTTTCTGCTTCAATGATGAGCTCTTCAATAAATTTTACTGGTAGGGTTTCGGTTCTCATATGATCCGTCTCACATCTCTCTCAGATTTGGAATTGGAGCTTCCTTGGATGCCTCTTGAGGGGAGTTTCGTTTTGAGACGAGCAGGCCTCTAGACAGAAGAAAGAGAGCACGCATGAACACTGCCTCTGATTGCAGCCTCGATGCGTGCTCTTTTTCTTCTGTCGGGAGTCCCTGTCCGTAATTGCCCGCGTTCTTTCCTGTCTATTCGAAGTTCACTTTCAGGCATTCGCTGAGAAGCAGATTGATTGACATTTTCCAACAAGGCTGATAGGTGCGGACTGATCCAGAAATACCTGTAAGTTTCGCTGTTGTTTCTCTCAGAACTATTTATCTCAGGTCACTTCATGGCCAGGCTTGTGTTAACTTTGCTGCTACACCAGCTGCGAGTTTTCCCGGTCAGATACATACCGAGCGGTGGAATTCGACCACCATCATAATAGTTTTCTGACTGAATGCTTGCAGGTAAATGCATTCTACGCGAAGAAATATTTGAACATTCGCTGGCAACTAGTATCGTGCAAACACGGATTTCAGAGTCAGCAGCTCGTTAGCTGTGCACCATTGCCTACAGAAAAATCTTACCTATCAATGTTTTCCTCTTGCATTCAGGTCGAAAAGCTCTCTAAAGTGGTCTTCAACCTTTAAGATGAACATCGGTAGCGTAAGTCCCGTTTTATGAACACGTAGTGGTGCTTCAAATCTCACTTGTAATGCATTTTGCCTTGAAGAAAAAGGTATGAGAATCTAGTTAACTGGATTGGCTAAGAACGCAATTTTTTTCCTTTGCAAACTTTGAAACGTTTTGCAGGAAATCCGTTCTAGATATGCAGACGAGTTTTCGAGTAAACTTTCTCGCATAAGTACTCGGGCAGAACCTGTGGTAATTCTCTTCGCTATATACAGCTGTTATTTCTGATCTCATGAGATGTTTCTGCAGCTCAGTCACATCAGGAATTTGGACTTCTCTTTCTAGGATCCTGCTGATATTATTGTTATCGATGAACTCGGTGGTGTGGCGCTGTCGAACTTGTAAACTACACCGCTCCAGGTTTTCTTAGCTGCATTTTGGTATTGACAAAGCTATGAAGTCCTGAGTTTACTATGTTGATTTTGACAGAATTTTGGAAACTGATTGAGTTCTCAGATTTCATTTTTGTTGTCTATTTGCAATCTAGATTACACAGTTTTTGTTTTTCGTCGAGATGAAGGGGTAAGCTCTATCTTTATTTCATGCGTGAAATATGGGTTGGGGCAGCTTAACTTCTCATTTAATTAAACATCGTTTTCAGTCGAATTACTTCCTTTTCAAAATCACACAGAGATTCAAATGTTGCTTCCCGATATCAGTGATGCCTTTCTATAAGGTACAATCTGTAGAAAGTGGAAATTATTCGAAAACACCATGTTTTACTAATTGCAGCTCTACGATAATATCGAAATGATTATCGAAAAGACAAAACCTTGCCTCCAGGTGCAGCACTTTTCGCTAGATAGGAAAGCTATCACTGTCCTTTTTCTATACCTTCTTCGTTTGTGATCGTGCTATATTGTTCAGATCTGCGAACCTCGAATTCAAGCTATCAAATCCTACTTCCAAGTTCTAAGATGACAGATAAGAATTCTCGTTCGGAAATATCAGGAGGGAACTGCCCCCGAAACTATTCCGAAAACGAAAGTGTTCACAGAAAATGGACTAGCTCAAGGTAAATTCTAAGTCATGATTGAGATGCGTTTCTTTTCAGACTACGCAAAAGACTGCCATGGTACCCAGAAAAGATGTCCAACGTGCAGCCACTCAAGGTGGGAGCATTTTGGTTCAAATCGTACAGGTTTAAAATATCTGGATGTTTACCAGCAGGAAGGACAATCACGGAAACATTCAGCTCGGCTATCTTTTGATTATCTTAGTCTGCAAGACGGAGCCGGAGTGTGCCTTCCTGTCTGTAAGTTAACAATGTTTAAATTGCAAGTCTTTGCTGGAAGCTGAACCGTTTTTGTCCCAAATCGCAAGTTGCCTGGTGGAGTCCCGTCTGCACATGGCCATGGGTGTTATCTATCAACCTGCCTCGACCGTCCGGTCTCCCGTATCTGCTGAGAGACTTGTGAGGAGTTTGTTTTGGTATACATAAATGATTTTACGGTGTTGCAGAGCAGGGCCTCTGGCAGCTTGTAGGTGGCGTTTTTTAAGCTTCTTTCAGAGAACAAACAGCACTGAAGCTAATGCAGAATAGCAGAGTACTGTCGCAGCAGCAACCACGAGTTTTAACTTTGATCAATCGTCAGCAACCATGACATCATTTGGAGGCCAGTCTAGTGTTGACGAGATTGAAACATTTCTCACTTTGTTTTTGTGCAGGCAAGAGGAAATAGTCTTCTGTCCACCTTTGAAGCTAGCAAAATTGGCAAGGACAGGCAGCTCACAGGATGGCGCCGGGTCGGAGTCTTTGACCGCTTCAAAGAGGTCTGAGCGTTTTTGTTGTTTCCTCTTTAGTGGTTTCCACGACTTGTCCTTTGATCCCTTGGGAGTTGGGCCAATCAACTAACTATTCTCAATGCTGGAGCCAAAAACTCGGAAAGTAAGCTGGACGGAACACATCGACGGTCCGATGTGAACTATATCAGATAAGCTTTAAAACTTTATCCGGCTTATAAGTTTTTTCGCTTCTCAGAATGTCAAGGTTTTTTGTCCTTTTTTTTTCCTTTCTTTCGTTTTCTCTTCAGATGCAAAAAAAATGGTATGGATCTATTGTTGACAGAAGACAGGGAGCACCAGCAGCCACCAGCTCTAGAGAGGCTTTTGGGTGCTTGTGCTCTCTATTCTTCTGCCATCAATCCGACTCGGACGCGTCATAGGTATGATGAGCTCCAGGGCGATTATGAAAGTTCAAAGTCAGACGGAAGCTCTGGCTATGGAGCTGAGGCCAGACTAGACTAGAAGACGGCCGGCATGCCGGCAGCGTGACGCTGAGCCAGGAAAAGCGAGGGAATACGAGGATCCAAGACCGCATCCACGAATCCAGGTTCGCTTATCCCTTGTATCTTGTCGTTCACCTCTTGAGCTCGGCATCCTAACGCCCAGTTTGCAGCCCCGGGAGAGCTGATCACCTGCAAGCTTTTGCTCTCCGTGTTCCATGCAACGGAGAAGCCGGCGGCAATGCCATGGCCGCTTCCAAACCATCGCCGGTTTATCATCTCGATGCCACCGTCTGGTATACGAAGGTTGTCGTACAGCAGTCCAGTGGCGAACCTCATGTGCGGCTGCGCGGTGTTGGCTCCGAATCCGGTGCAGTTGTGGAAGACGTTGGGGCCGGCGATGCTGTCTCCAGTAATGAAGCTGTATTCCCTGTTCCCAGATATGGTGACGTTTCTCACGAGTATTTGCTGTCCAGGACGGTGGAGAGCTATGTCGAACGGTTTCGGCCCCTTTGTTGCGTTCGCGGTGCGGTGCAGGACCAAGTTCTGGGCCGTGACTCTCGTCCCAGCGATGGCGATCGAGGTATGGAGCAACTCTCTAGGGTATTTCAGGATTGTGCCGCTGAAGTCGTGGAGCTCCAGGTCGGTTATCCACGCATCCTCCACGTCTTGCATTTTTAGGAAGCATCCCGTGCCTGGAAATGTGATGTTCTTCACCGCCTTGAAGTTCTGCAGGGCGACTCGGGCGATGCGGGGGGCTGTGGATATCTTCTCGACGCTTGCGCCGTGAGCTTCGTCCAGGTAGTTCATGTCCATTCGAAACGGAAGAGGGATATCCAGCTGGATGGAAGAGTCGAGTGTGGAGACCGTCTTTATGATCCGCTCGGCTTTGTAGCCGTATCCCGGCCGCCAGTAGTCGCTCATGTTCATCATCTGGATCCACTGGGGGCTCCAAGTCCAGGTAATACTCACTTGGTCTCCCTCGGAGAAGCCTGCTACTGAGCTTAGCCGGAGAGTTTTGCTCCCGGAAGGAACTGTCTCGACAACAGGTGACCGTGTGCTGTTTACTGTCGTCGCAGGATTTCCATGGATCCGGAACAAAACTTGAGCCTCCAGAGAGTGTGCGTCGATCAGCGTTTGGTCTACGCCGCTGCCATCTATAACGACGCCGCTGGTGTTGATCACTATGGACTTCTTACCGAGGTTGAACGTCCCTTTCGCAAGCTTTACAGTCCCTCTGAATCCTTGCTCGTCTAATTGCATGGCAGACACGGTGTTTATTGCCGCTTGCAGCGCCTCTGTGTCGTCGCTGCTGCCGCCACCACCAGGAAACAACGTTACCTTCACTGGAGGAGCCGGGGGAATGGGATCCATCCCACCTCGGTAGCCAACCGCGGAGAAATCCATTATCCTGTCACCTTGCCAGGTTGATCGGTAAGAAAGCCGTGGTTTCTGCTCGAGATCACTATCTGGATCCAGCCATACCCATGGCTGCTCCTGATCAGCTCTTGCAAGACTCAGGAAAGACGAGAGCAGCAGCAAGAACTTGAGGGTCTCCATCACTGCGTGGGAGCGGTGCTTTGCGGCAAGGTACTATATATCAACTGGCCCAAGCTTTTGGAGGCTTTTGGTGGGAGAGCGATCTTCATTATGTGCAGTCATCGGTGGACTCGGAAACATTTTCCTGCTAGCTGTAAAGTTAAAGACTTACGAAGCTCGGCTTGGCTCCTTCTCACACTGATATTGCCGCTGCGCAGGAATTGGTACCTTTGGCTCATTCCATCCATAATTGACTATACTGTCGAGCTTTTGCAACTTGTTGTAAGTCGGCAAAATAAATCGGTTTCTCTGGCACGCGCGGTCGCTTTCTTTGGACAGCCGGCAAGTTTGAACAATAAACTGCATGATTGATCACATTTTTGCTGACGAGATGTTCGATGACAGGAAGATTGTTGCAACTTAGAAGGTTTCGCAGCAAAGGGAAGTCGTGTTTCACGATGAACGTCCGGTTTCGTGGTCCCAAATATTCAACTAACCGGGTACGTCTTTCGCTGTTACTTGTGTAACAAGTCTTGGTTGCGTTGTGTGAGGTTTCTAGCAATAGAGTAGAGCAATGTACTCTCGGAAATTTAATTCGAAACTTCTTCTGTAGATGCAGTTCCACAAGCTGCGGTACACTTCATGTACCATCGTCTAAAGAGAAATGGTAAACTGCATGATTGATCCCATTTTTGCTGACGAGATGTTCGATGACAGGAAGATTGTTGCAACTTGGAAGGTGCCGTACCAAGGGGAAGTCGCGGTACCGGTTTCGTGCTCCCAAATATTCAGGTGACCATCACTACCGGGTACGTCTTTCGCTCTTACTTGTGTAAGAAACCTTGGTTCAGTTGATTGATTGCTAGCAATAGAGTAGAGCAATCTGCACTCGGAAATTTAATTCGAAACTTCCTTTTGTAGATCCAGTTCCACGAGCTGGGGGGTACACTTCATTTAATAACCTCTAGGACAGAGTTTAAAAGCGATGGACAGCGGCCTGAGATTCCGTAAAATCTCTGCTGCAGACTTAAGGTATGGTGCTTCTATTTCTATTTTCTACGAAATTCTCCTTTCGTTCAGAACCGGTCACTCTCGTCTTAGCTTACCTGGTAGAGCACCAGCGTGGCTTTTAACCACGTGGTGGGTTCGATTGCCGCAGACGGCATAGACGGATTTGGCTAAGGTAGCTGCATCAGATGAACACAACAAGGCACAGGCGAGTTCTTTGGCTTTGTTTCGACGGAGAAGTATTTTCTTTCATCTTGCGGATATCTAACAAGCAGATCCATCTCTCAACGTCCCGGCAAACGCAAAGAACTTGACAGAGGAGGAAACATTTGATCCATAGCAAACTTTCTTTATGGCAATCACATCCCAGGTGTGTAGGCCGTCTCAGCTCACCACGTTAGAAAAAGATCACTGTCACTATGGAAATCTTTTCTGAGTGCCCTTTTGTTTGGTGATTTTTTCCAGGTTTTCATTTAGCTTCTAGGGTTTGAATGCGGGCGGGTATTTCTTCGCAAAGCCAGGTAGCGCAACTCGATCTCCTCCTGAGAACAGTCAGAAAGCTGGATTGGATGCATTAGAAAAGGTTAGCGTTCTTGGCCTGGCATGAGTGTAGTGCTCTCTCGCTGATCTTACTTCCGTATTTTCGTGGGAGGAAGCTCGAAACTTCTACGGGTAGCTCCAGAGGTCTTCCAAGAATTATAAAAGGCTTTATGTGTTATGAACTTTTTTTTAGCTTCTTCCATCACTGATCTTGTTATCTTACAGCAAACTGAGCCGCTCCTACCGAAAACTGCTGCAAATTGGTTGCAGGCCAGGAGATAGATTTCATAGTTTATTCATTCTGGACCACCCGGCAACAGGTACAGCACATCTTCTGCGCGATCTCTGACACCGTTTCTCCTGGTGGCAGGCGCTAAGTTGCGCGTTGGAACTGTTGCAACTTGTCAAGGTTCGTACGAGGGCCATCACGTGAATTTCACGTGATGGATTTGTCTCACAAACCGGTACAGTTCAATTCGCTGCAAGAAAGGCTTGCAGTTTTCTTGACAGCAGTCGATTTTTACTTTCAGTGTTTTGTCACAGGATCAGCGCTAGATTTTACGACAAAAAATTCTGTGAGGTTTTCTACAATTGTGGATACTGTGAGCTAGTGTTCAGTTGAGCTGCTTGCAGATTTCCAAAACTCCTCACAGCCGAATTCTTCTCTCTTTTGTTTTTGTTTATTGATGGCTCCTTTTGCAGTGCCTTGCATTTGAAACTGGGCCTGGAAGATCGCACGGAAACTATGGGTTCTTTGATGCTCATATATCGTGTGACAGCGATTTGGATCAGGTACTGTGACTTGTTTCTATTCAGAAAAACGTGTTCTCTAGGTCCGACTGGCTTCCTTTACCACGCATTCTAGAGTAGGAAGTAAAGAATTATGCGATCTCCCAGCAAAACATCGCTCTCAAGGAGACGAGGTGATAAAGATTCCTCTAGTCAGTCTTTGTACAAGCATCCTGACGCTGCGTTTGATTACACAGAGAGGACGAAGACAAGGATGTTCATACACACTGCTTTGGTGAGGTTTATTCTTGGTTCCCCGATTTCTAGAATTCCCGTTGCGCTTTAGTGAGGAGGACCACAGTGCATGACACATAAAACACACACTACTTCGGTTCTTGGGGAATTTGTTTCTGTAGAAATTTTCCGAGCATGTCGAAACAGGTGTGCAAGCCGTTTTAGCTCAGCCGATAGTGGCTTTTAACCACGTGGTCGTGGGTTCGATTCCCACAGACGGCGAGGCGAGTTCATTCTCATCAGGCAAGCTCGAGTTCTTTGTTCTTTGTGAGACTCCTTTGATTTTGCTGCAGTGGTAAAAAACTGTCGAAAGCACGGGAAATCACCAGGTAGTGAATTCTAGTTTACTTGGTAGGCAATAGGAGGAACGATCTAGTTGTTTATGTTCTTTGTGAAACTTCTTTCGTAACAACTTTTGTGCTTCCAAGTTTGTACTTTTTACGAATTTCTTCTTTCCCGTGGAAGCCGTCTTAGCTCAGCAGGTAGAGCGCGTGGCTTTTAACCACGTGGTCGTGGGTTCGATTCCCACAGACAGCGTTTGCAAGAGCTCCCAGTTTCTGTGAGATTCGTGTGTCTGATTTACTAGGAAATGGCAGGTTTTTATTCCTTCTAGGGTTTGTGGAGCTATAGGGCGGGCGGGCATTCTTCGCTAAAGCCAGGTAGCGCAACTCGATCTCCTTCTGAGACCAGTCGGAAATTTTGACGCACTAGAAATATTTAGCGTTCTTGACATTCGAAGCTGACATTCAGACATTGTTTGATTCCTCGATTAGGCTCATCCGATTAGTCGTCAAGACTCCGTAGTGATTCCACAGGAGTTTAGTGCTCTCTCGCTGCACCTACAGGTAATCTTCCAAGAATTATAAAAAGCTTTAACGCCTTTGTGGATTCATGAGTTCGCTCGCTGAACCTTTGTTGGCTATCTTACAGCAAAGTGAGCGCTCCCAAAACCGCTGCAAATTGGTTGCAGGCCAGGAAATAGTTTTCATTTTTTTTTTTCCTGGACCAGCCGGAAACAGGTACATCAATTTGCTTGCCTTTTGACTTGATCATACTCACTGAGACCGTTTTTCCTGATGGCAGGCTAAGTTGCGCGTTGCAACTGTTGCAACTTGTCAAGGTTCGTACGAGGGCCATCACGTTGCACGAGGAGCATTCGATTTAGTATTGATGAATGTCACAGCTGTTTTCCACAAACCGGTACAGTTCAATTTGCTGCACTGCAAGATAGTTTTCTTGACAAGAGTTTTTAGCTGTATGCAGGAAACAAGTACTACTTTCAATGTTTTGTCACAGGAATTAGCGCTGGATTAAACGTCCAACTCTTCGAGCTTTCAGCTGGACGGAAAAAGTTTCTGTGAGGTTTTCTACAAGCAGGTACTTGTGGATACTCAGTGGATTCCGGGAGCTTTGGTGTTAACCGCATCTTCAAGACGCTGCAGGGGCTGCTGTCGGAGATGAGGATCAAGGGGTACGAGCCGGATCGAAAGGTGGTGATCCACAGCATGGAAGAGGAGGACAAGGACGAGGTGCTGTTCTATCACAGCGAGAAGCTGGCGGTGGCGTTTGGGATTGCCAGCACGCCACCCAGGACGCCGCTTTGCATCGTCAAGAACTTGCGAGTGCGCTCCGACTGCCACTCGGCAATCAAGTTTGTTTAGGTGCTTGCGAATTTGCACTTTGCGTTTGTCACAGTACTCATCTAGCCGAGTTCTTCACTTTTTTTTTTTGTTTATTGATGCCTCCTTCTGTATTCAGCTGCAGTACCTTGTATTTGAAACTGGAGGATCCCAAGGTTTCAACGGAAAACAATGGCGTTTTTGTACTCACATAAGGTACTGTGCTTGGAAGTGGCTTTTTCAATTCAGGATAAACACAGTTGAAGCTAATTTTCAGGAAAGATATAACTAGGTGCAAGTCGCGCTCGTGGCTTCCTTCACCACGGCTTTTCTCAAAATCAGATTAGCTTGTGGGAACAGAAAGAAGAGAACTATGCGAACTCCCAGCAAAATATCGCTCGCAAGGAGACGAGGTAATAAAATCTCTAGTCAGTCTTTGTATTTCGCTTTGCAAGCGTGCTGACGTTGTGTTTGATTATGTTTGATTACACAGAGACGAGGAGGAAAGTACAAGGAGATACACACTGCTTCGATGAGGTTTACTCTTGGTTTCCCGATTTCTGGTTGCATTTTGCTAGCAATGTTTACAGGGACGAGACGAAATTACATGACGTAAACACACGCACAGAGTGCTTCAGAAGGTTCGTTCTGAGTTTGTTATACTTGCAGAATTCTTCCTAGCATTTCAAACCAGTTGTTCAAGCCGTCTTAGCTCAGCCGGTAGAGCGCGTGGCTTTTAACCACGTGGTCGTGGGTTCAACTCCCACAGACGGCGAGTTCGCTCTTACCAGGCAAGAGGCAAGCTCGAGCATTTCTCCTTTTCTTTTGAGACTCCTTGCACTGGCAATTCGATTTAACTTTCGTGCTCTCCGAGCTAGTTAAATCTCTCGGACTGAGAACATTGAGATCTCTGCTGCACGGAAAATCATCTATAACGTTTCTAGAGCCAGGTACGTGCTCTGAATTCTAGTTTCTAGACTGTAGCAAGCCATAATGCTACTTGGCAGGCCGGAGGAGGAACAATCTAGTTGTCTTTTTACAGTACTCAGCCCCGGTCGGAAATTCCTCCTCTTTTCTAGAACTTCACCTTCACAGTGATCGCTCTGCAGGGAGATTGGAAGAGCGCCAAGCTCAACATATTGGGCCAGGTACGCGCTTGAAGTAACGTTTTTGGATTGGAAAAACGTGTTCATGTGTATGTGTTGGATCAGAAAGACAAAAATACACGTGAAATAGCAACGCCAGGAGACGGCACTTGTATGACAGGCAAGGATGTCCATCGCTTTGCTCATCGCAATTTTCCGATCCCTAGAGTTTATGAAGCTGCTGTTGTTTGATTGCAGTGAGGAGAGGAGTGCATGACGTAAAACGAGCACACACTGGTTTGTCACGTTTTTTATTATACAGTTTTAGTTATTTGCAGTGATCAAATGTGTAAGCTCAGCCGGTAGAGCGCGTTGCTTTTTGGATCTCGACCTTTTTGCAGCGAAAACGTTGGGTTCGATTCCGCGGCTTTCGGTCACCAATTTACTGCAGGAGCTCTATTATTTTTATTCAGAAGATTCCTGCTTTTAATTTTCAGCTCACGTTAAACCATCTCAACGAGTCCAGGTTTACCAGGCTCCTGGGGACCTCACCACTCAGCTCCAGAGATGGCTCCTTCAAACTCAGCATGCTTCCCATGGACGAAGGAATTGCCCCGGACAACTCGTTACTGCTCACAGTTGCAGGATCAAAGGCAGGATGTGATACGACAAGTTCAGCATTGACGTGAGGAAGTCTCGACCATGGTAGAATGGGGCCTTGGAGACTGCAGTTGCGTGGAGATCCAGCTCAAGGAGGGTTCCTGGAGCTGTGCAAGGCCGTGGAGATTCAGTGGAAACTTCTTCAGAGCAAAGCCAAGATCTCACCAGCAAGGGACAAGGTTGGAGCAATATGATATGTTCCCTATGTCTTGCAGGGATTAAACAAGTACAAGACAAAACTCTTAAGTGAACCAGCTATGCCTCGAAAGTGAAATTAAAGCCAAGTGAACTCATTTAGGGTGCTCTTCCACTTGATTGCTAAGATGCTGAACCAACTGGCTTCTTAGAAGCCATAGGGTGGAGTGTGGCTCACCAATATGTGCTAGATCACTTCAATATTCATCATGCTCACTGAGATCACATGAACATACTTAACATATTCAAGCATATTCTAGAATATTTGACAATTTAATAGCTTGCTTTCCAAGCCTTCTAGCTTAGGATATTCCACCTCTGTTTCTTTTGGGAATCCTTTCTCATATAAACTAGCCCCAAAGCATTTTCCAATGATATATTTATGTGTAATCAAAGTTTAATACTAATTTTCTTACTTTTATCACGAATACAAACCTTTACTAAACCAAAAACTTTGGTGACAAACATCACAATCATGTCATTCTCCAGCAAAAACCCAATAATGATGTAATTCTCAACTCACTTCCATTGTAATAGTAAGGCCTTAAATCCATGAAAGCCTTGCTCCTTACACTGCCAGACCTAGGACGAAAGAGTTTCAACCAAAATCCATGCCAGCTTGAGATCCATTTGGGAGTAAAAAGAATTTCACTGCATTAGCAATAGTCATACTTACCAAACAAATGCATAAATGTTCCACATAAATGCAAATGCATTTCCAAATGTCAAATTATGCTCCAAACGTGTTTGTCAGTAAGAAGAAAAAAAACCTAAATAAATGAAAATATTCTAAAATAATCTTTTAAATATTCGAATATTCTATTGTGTGTTCAATCACTCAGATCATCATAGTCACTTCATCTATCTCCTGTAAAAGTCTTGGAATTCTTCCATTCTTTGCTGCATATGCAAAAACCTCTTGCAATTGACTTCTAAATTCAATCTCCTTACAAGAGCCCTTAGTCTCTATGAGCTAGACTAGCTTCATGTTAGTGTAGCAATACACTAGTACATGATCTCATTACCTGGGATTGGCCCCAAATGTGCCTAGTGACATTTCAAAGACCCTTTATATTGCTGCAATGCTTACAAATTCAGCAATGCTGAGCATTATCATATGCTTTGCCAAGGATGGTGTCCTTACCTTAATCCTTTTCGACAGCTTGCCTTCTCTCCCTAGCATCTTTTGTTGCTCAGCCCAAGAAAAGTTAAAGGTAAAAGAAAAGAATATTCTTTAACTTAGTTGAAGGTTCTAATAACAAACACAAACGCCTAACAAATACAAATGCAAGCATAGTCTTTGCATAAATTTCTAAACAAATGCATTTGTCAGTAACTAGTGATATGCGAATCCCCATCTATGGTAGCAAAATGGCAAAAGCCAGCCAAAGACTGCTGCCACTCCCCCAAGCATTCCAAGTAGTAGCAGTGCCATTAACTCCTCACCAGCTAGATTTGATATTGCAGCAGCAGCAGGAGCAGTAGTAGCTCTGTGTGGATATGGCATGATGGGTTATAAAATATTCCTTAATCTAATAGCTTTCTTTTCTATTTAGTTTCTAATTAATGAGGGTTTAATACTAATTTTCTTTCTTATTTTTAATATTTTATAAACAAAACTTTGCCTATATTAGAGAAAATTACCACATTGTCCATTGTACTGAGAGGAACCTGGCTCTTCTATAAAGGCTCACCTAGTGTCAAGGAACTCATCTCTAGCAGCAACTAATCCTACAAGGCTCAAACCAATAGAGCATTGTGCATATATAGATGGCAGTCAAGAATGTATGTTGGGAGTTATCCCTTCTAAATCCATGGACTTGAGGACTTGTTAATTATCACTCGTTTGATGATTGTCTAAGTCTAGTTAGATTTGATTAAATAACATGAAATTATTTTGAAAATTCCTATGAGGATTGGGCATGTAATATGTATCTTGGCTATTAGAACTATAGTAAGCAGTCAGTCCTAACTTTTGAAATATTTTAAAGTTAATGTTCACTGATAACATCAAGCATGCCAATGTAGCTGATGAGGTTATGAAGAAGGATCGTGAGGGAGAGAGGATCTAAAGAGGGCATTTCTGCCATGTGCAACATGGAAAGAAATGTTAGAATTGTAGAAGCCTAAACTTCTGCAAAGAAATTCTAAAGAAGTTGATCATGAAAATTGGGAGCTTACTTTCAGCGGGACAATTACTCCATTTCTTGCCCTAAATTCATATTCACACAAAAGTAGACAAGAATCAAAACCATAACCACTCTTTTGAATCCCTATTTAGTGAAGATTCTCTCAAAGTTACAATGCTTGCTAATTCATGTTCATATAATTCAAGTACACACAAAAACACATATGATCAAAAGAAGATTCTCTTTTGTTATTAGAGAACATAACACATCTAGATGGGAATCTAGAATTGAATTTGTAATAACAAGAGGTTATCAAATGCTTGCTAGATCCAAATACATGAAATACTTGCTAAAAACTTAAAATTTTGGTAAACTCTAAAGCATTGTGTAAATTAACCAAAAATTATTCATAAAGCAAACCAAAGTGGACAGATTATTATTTAATGTGACTCAAGAAAAATAATTATGACAAAATCACAAACCAAATTCTTAAGCATTCTAAGAATATTTATTACTCTCAGATTTAATTAAGGCAACCAAACATTCTCATCAAACTAGATTCCTTATGAGCTAGAAAAACTCTAGCTCCAATCTAAACTTAGGTAGTCTTTCATCTTCCTTGGGCAAACCTTGTTTACTTGGAAGGAGTAACACTTTGAGGTACTAAGATTTCAAGTTACAACACTTTGAGATATACAACACTTAGAGCACATTTGGTAGTAATACTTGGTAGAAAAGCAATAATTAGAGTAATACTTGAATGTAATATTTAGTGGTAATATTTGGTAAAGAAGAAATGCTTAGTGGTAACACTTGGACTAACATCTTGGAGCAATATTTGAAGGCAACATTAGGAGGCAAAGGGGAGGATATAGTTGCAAAGATTGTCAACATATTATAGAGGATGGCTGCATCAATATTGTGCCAATCTCATTTTTCTTGATTGCTTGGATGGCAGGTTGAGTTAAGGTAGGTATTACATATTTATATGTATATATATTAATAAATTTTACACCATCCTCCCCTCTAAAAGATGAAAAGGTGATAACAATAAGTTAGGTGGAACATCTGGAGCTTTTGTATGGCAACTATAGAGTGCTACAAGAATTTGAAGCTCCCATAAAACCACTAATATAATTGTTGAATAAACAGAATCCAAAACCATGGCACCAACATTAGTTAATTATGAAATTTTGATGAACTAGTTGCAACTTTGTGTGCAACTACTAAATGCTTGAACCAATCTTGAAACCATAATTTTAAATCAAAGCAAGGGATTTTGAGAATCATTGTAGTCCATGAAATGCCATTACAGTAAATGATATATCCAACTTCTAAATCCATCTACTAGCCATCTTCCAAGACCATTATTAACTCAAACTCACGACCATAAGTAAAATTTGCCTCTATATTTTCTTTTTAGTCAACATTTTGAGAGTCATATTCACTCAAACTCATAATCTTTATCCTTATTTAGCACTATATATGGGAAGTCATCCCCCACATCCTTTTTATTCCATCCTTGAAAGTAAAAAAAGTTCTAAAGCATTGATTCTATTTAGACTCACTATGTTATCCTCACTTCACTATCAATGTTCAACTTCTCTCCACTATTGTATCCATTTGGCTTCATTATATCAAAGTTTGATATTCCATTTAGATGTGCTATATTTGTCCTCACTCCATAATTTATGTCATTCATTTTTGCTCCACTTCTATATTCATTCATCCTCACTCTATTATTGGGGCAAGACTCATCCCATTTACCCCCTCCTCTAAAGAGAAAAAACTTTGAAGTATAACAGAAAGAGGAAAACTAATAGAAAAATCCACACTTTCAAAAGAACATATAAACTCGGTAAAACAAAGGCTCTCAATGACATTTGCAACCAAGGACATATATTCAATCCAAAACTCTAACAAAAGTGATTTAACTTTTAGAACAAAGAAATACTCAATACCAAAACAAATCAAAAACTTTGTCAATGAAATAAAAGCAAAATTTTTATTTTTGCACATATACTCAACATTTTATTGGTATGAGGAGGATAAAAAACACTCAACTCAATACTAAATTTAGAATGAGAATCATAAGCATAAAAAATTATCATCATGCTAAAAGAAGGAAATACTACAACTGAAGAAGCAACACTACAAATATAAGAAGGTGGCTAAAACTAAAAAATAAGAAAAAGTTGAGAAAGAGTAAAAGATAATCAAGCTCCTCATCATGATCTTCAATCCACTTAAACTTGTATATATCATCTTCCTATTAACTTGATCCTTGAATATTTTCCAAGAATTAAATTACATCATTCATAACTCTCCAATTGATATATAATCACGTTCCACATTAATGGGAGATAATAGGACATATAAAATAGGAGAACCTGTATGGAAACTGGAGACCATAACACACCAAGGATATGTACAATACCAATATAATCATGCCCCACAAAACCAAAAATTTGATCCAATGATACAACATTAGTAACCTTAAGTGATATACTCTTTGATCAATTATGGTATGATATGGCAAAATAAAGGAATGCAATGAGAAAATATAAGCATAATAATAGCTAAAATTCTAGTTTTAGCAAAAAACTATAACAAATTTAGAGAAGAAAGGAAGAATGATAAAACAAAAACAAAAAATATAATCCCAAAAGAGAAAGGATCAAATAATAGATTAAAGGATTAATACTTACCCTGTGAAATTTTTAATTCGTCTCAAAAGCTATCTCGATAATCTAAGTAAATGTAGCGTATGTGGTTTTCACCCTTTATCCTATAATGGTTTACCAAAGGATAACCACGAAATAAAATCTAAACCGTCCATGTGCCATGTATCATATGCCACATACCACATGCCACATATCAAGGATAGTGGATTGGAACTCGAGTTTCAAAGCCTTGGACCATTGAATGAAGGAACAGAGCCAAACTTTTAAATATGGAGCCAAGGAACG